GAACTCTCTGAAGAACAAAGGTAAGTTTTAGCAAGTATGTAGCTGTGATGGCTACTGCTCAGAGCACCTGGGATATATCATGGAAATTCGCTGATATAGTAATATTCTTGACTATTTTGTTCCACTTATTTGAATTCATACCTGATGTTCTCCAAGAATTTGAGGCAGAGTACATCATCTTTCTCCCTTTTCCTGGCAGCACTTTAATTGGCAGCAACCTTCTATAGCTAGAAATAAAGAGACTAGCCCAAGCCATCAAGTGAGTTTCATGCCTTAGTTCAGTTTCCCTGTCCTGAGATATTTTGATCAGTATATCATATTCTTTCTTTGTAGGTGTTCCTTGTCCCTTTTGATGCAGATATTTTTTGCCAATAATAAAATTGTAGTTGTGCCAGCAGTTTGACAAATCTATAATTGTACTCATGTGGGGTTTTTTTCTTTTTCTTTTTCCAGGCGGACTCTGATTGATATAATAGAAGGAAACGGTGGTTATAAATAGGTGTCAGAAGAGAAACTACTTCCTCTTTTCTAAAAAAAAAAAACGTAACTTACCTGATTTCAATACAGCTGTCAGGGAGTGGCCCTGAAATTCTCTGTGAGCCTTGTACATAACTGTATTATATTGGTGGTATTATCATGTGGATTCCAATCTGATGGTAATTGGTAGGAAGTTCTGGTTTCACCTGTTTTGGAATGTTTGTTCTCGTTCTCCACAAGCTCCGTTTTGAAAACCCAAATTGTCTGCCAGAATCATAGAATTATTTTCTTATTGTATTCCATCTACATTTTGTTTAGATATGCTATCAGAAATAAAGAGTAATCCACTTGCCTCTTTTCAACAGGTTTTTTTTAAATTTAAACTAAATCTATTTGAACTGACTAAAGAGCTTTAGAATGTTACAAACTTCTAAGGATTTTTTTTCTTTTATATATATCAAAACTCTAAACAGATAGCCCAGAATAGAAATATCACCATTGTTAGAATAGCACATATTTTATCAATGTCACAATGCAGTTCTGCAGATTTGTTAATTTCAAAAGCAGTATGGTGTAGAAAGTATTTTCCCCCTTAATTAAGTACACATTTGATTTGGTGGTGGATTTACATGTTTATTTTGGCTTGTTTTAAAAAACAGACTGATTTTGAAAATAGATGATTTGTGAATACACTTTTCCTGTAGCAAGGAATCCTAGGATGGTCTACATTTCTTCCTTGCTCCAGTAGGCAGAGTCAAGAATGTAACTTTTTGAGGAAGGAGTACCCCTCTCTGAATTAACTAAGACAAGCCAATGGAATTCCAGCTGTGATCTTGATTCTTCTGGAATTTATAGCTGTTGCTGACTTATATTTGTTGCTGACAACATAGCTTGCTAAAAATGTACAAACAAAATATCTCTTACTTGGAATTCCTCATATCCCTTGAGTTTTGGACAGAATAAAAGCAGGTGTGGCTCTGAATCCTGAAGAGCAAGAAGTTAATTTTGGTACGAAAATATGATTAATATGGAGAATTATGAAAATGTTAATTATGATATCCTTTTTTGGGAAGAGAAAAAAATGCCTTTTTCCTGAAAGCAGGGGCTACTTCCCAAGAAGGGAGATGTGTTCAAAACCAAATGCAGATCCCACAGATGCCACAAGTGGCAACTTGTGTACTGTACTATAGAAAAACACTTCACAGAAGTTGTGGAATTCCCATGTTATCTGGAATAGTGAAAAGAGTAAAACCTTACTTATTAAGAATATTGGTTCATCGGTCCAATAACAACCTTTTTCAAGACCAAACTAGGAAAATATTTATGCCCAAGACAAAAAAAAAAATCTTATGAAGAAAACTCAGTGCTGTTATACCAACAGCATAAGAGCAAGATGACTGATAAACATACTTTGTAGACTCACAGAAAAATGTAAATATAGTGGCATTTTAACCAAGGCCACATAATTGCTAGTCAGCCAAGTATCGTCGTAAGTATGCAGCCCTTGGTTCTTTCTGAGCGTGATTATTTATTTGCCAGTCCAATTAGATAAGGTCATCAATGTGAGTGAGTGGCACATTCCCTCATTAGTGCCTATCTTTTGTTGGAAGTACAGACGATAACATCACTTATGAAGAACATCTTCATAGTTACGGAATTGATAAAGGTATATTGATGATAAATGGAATGAAAATGTAAGTGGCAAGTGCTCCATCTTTAGTTCCAAGAAACCAACATTTAGTTTTCTTGGTAGTTCATGCCTTAAAGTTCATTTCCTGTTCCCAAAAATTGGCATCTTTAGGGAAGGTGAGAACCACCAGGGTAGTAAGGAGCTCTGGTGGTGCAATGGTTAGAATGCAGTATTGCAGGCTAACTGCCTGGAGTTTGATTCTGATAAAACTCAAGGTTGACTCAGACTGTTGGGGATAATATGCTCACATTTATAAAATGCTCAGAGAGTCCTGTAAAACACTATGGGTGGTGTTTTAAATGCTCTTGCTATTATCTTAGGTAAACCAATCAATGCTGCAATGTTTTGTCCCAGTGTCTAGAGCTGAGTGGGTTGGAAAGGGAGTAAGAGATTCAGGTTCAATTTTACCAGGACCAAATGGCTTTACCCAATCCTAGATAATAGAAGGACCATTTTCCATTCAGGATAAGTGTACAGATGGAATTTTCTTGATTAACAGGTTGGAGAGCATGTGGCAACTATAGCTTGGAAGATCTTTGCAGAGGTTCTTCTGTACCAGTTACAACTGGTACTATGACTAGGAGACCCTCTAGTTCAGTGATGGCTAACCTTTTTGTAAAGGGGTGCCAAAATTGTGTGTGTGCGTTATTACGCGCACATGCATGCCCACACCAACAATTCAATGTGCCCCACCCACCTGTGCATGTACACGGGAACCCACACACACACACACCAGGGTGGGGGAGTTTTGCCCTCCCCAGACTCCAGGGGCTTTCCCGAAGCTTGGGGAGGGCAAAAAACAGGCCCAATGGGCCAAACGGAAGTTTGTTTCCAAACTTCCTGTTGGGCCTGTTTTTAACCCTCCCCAACTCGAGGCTTTTCTGAAGCCAAGGGCGAAAAACAGGGCCAACCAGAAGTTCGGGAACTAACTTCTGGTTGATCCATTGAGCCTGTTTTTGCCCTCCCCAGGCTCTGGAGGCTTACCTGAAGCCTGGGGAGGGTGAAAACTGCTCTCCCAGCCCTCCAAAAGACTGAAAATCAGCTGGCTGGTGCACACATGCACACCGGAGCTGACGGCTTGTGTGCCAGCAAATGTGGCTCCACGTGCCACCTGTGACATGCGTGCCATAGGTTCACCATCACGGCTGTAGTCACTTATATGCTGGTCACCTAATGTAAGGACATTAGGCTGAGAATAATCTTGGAAGACAGGACAAAGAGCCACATCATAGACAATGGTCAGATGAAATCTGAATCCAAATGAGAAATGGGGTTGAAGGAAGCAGAAGGGACACTCCCTAGTTAGATAAAGGCTGGAGAACAGAGAAATGTTTTTTGGATTGGAAAGATTCTATTGTTACAATAAAGGAAATATTGATACACGTATCTTTTATTTCTGGACTACTTGGAAGAGCTGAGATTGTTATGTGCTCTGCAGGAGCTGCCCAAGCCACTTAGAAGCTTGTCTATGGAGATTGTCATCCAGGTCATAGTTGTTTCAAATGTGCTCTCCCCCCCCCCATACATTCTTGGATGTTTTCTTCTTTAAGGAAAAAAAGTCCTGTTGCCTTTTGAAGAAAAAAAGTGTCTTTGAGACACTTTACTTTGAGAAGCTTCATTTAGTTCAGTGTACAGCAACATGAGCATTAATACATGTACCATAGCATGCCACATTAACACCTAATGAGTTGCACTAGTGGCCATTTAGCTTCTGGGTGTAAAGGAAGACACTTTTTACCACATAAATCCTTTCCTGGCATAGGCCTGGTTCTTTGAGGGATCATTTATTTTAAATAATTTTCCTGTCCAGAGTTAACATAATATCCCATTAGACATTGTCATGTGATCAAACCCAGGAAGGGGACTTGTCAGTCCACTTTCCCTCGAATATTTCTCCAGAGAGACACAACTCAATTTACCGTCATTTAAAAATGTCTCTTCGAGGCCTTGATTAGGGTAGCGAGCATGTCCTAAAATTGAATTGGTTTTCTTTCAACATCTTTGCCTGTTTTCTGCTGTAAGCCATTCAGATTCTGAATGTCAGGTGGCATATAAACCTTGTGCAAGTGGACAGTATTGGCTATTGGAGATTTACAAGTAGTAGTTTTTTGTGTTTACCTTTGAGTGAATCTTGACTCCTGATGAGTGCCTGGACAAATCTCTACAGTTTTCTTGGCAAAGTTTTTTCCCCAAAGTTTGATCATTGCCTTCTTCCTAAGGCTAAGTGTGTGACTGGCCCAATGCCACACCATTGGCTTTGTGCCTACAGCAGCACTAGAACTCAGATCTTCCAGTTTTTAGCATGATGCCTTAACCACTAATTTATTCAAGAGAAATATTGGTGATTTTGAGAAGGGTTGGGTGATGTTATATTGTTAATCTAAGGAGCATTACTTTTGAAGTGTTCCACAAGATGGCCAAAGATTGCCAGAAATGCGGATGAAAGTATGGCTGAATACTGCAAAATTGAGGCACTGCGAGGACTTTCCTGCCGCTTTGCAAACATTTCAGAAGCTAGAGAGAGATGGAAGAGAATGAGTGTTGGTCCTACCTGAACACACTTTTCCTTAAATGAGGAGAGAGAAGAGGTCTGGCAATGTAAAGTAGAAATCGGACTCCTTATTCTTTCAACCTCTCTACACATGTAAACAGAAATAGCAACATTTCTTCAGAGCCATGGGATGCTCATAGATGTGGTCTCAACTTATTTCAAGACAATGTAGTCTATTTTATTAAGTAGACTTACTCAGCTGATGACAGCATTTGTTCTCAATTAGAAGGATATTATATTTTTTAAACATAGGAATAAATGGAAAAACTCAATTGATTCATATTGGAGGAAAATAAAAGTGGTGTTGCCTTTAATGCTCAGATAAATAGTTTTCAGGGCTTATGCAGAATTTGCTTGGGAGAAATTATTGTATCAAAATCATAAAGAAAATGTGTAAATGTTCCATTGCTAAAAGCACACTGAAAATTGAAAATCTGTCAATACCAAATAGGAGATATTTACACTTTGGAAACAGATAAAAGGGAAACTGGCAGATTGTTTCCACATAATTTTATGCATTTTTCATCTGCTTCTGACACTATCTGATTGTGTTTTTTTTAATCTATCCAAGCAGCAGTGAAAAATAAATTGTTTAAATATCATTTATTTAATTGAGCCAAATGGCAAATCAGTAAGAGGTTATAAACATTATTTTGGTGGGTTCACAAGCTCAATCAGTAATACCTGGAAACTGTGTTATGTAGATTAAAACAAAAACAAAAACACAGTCCAGACATGATAAATGGCTGAAGGAAAAAATGCAAATGCAACAGGTTCTAAGATTTATAAGAGTACTAGGAGATGGAACTTTTTTCCCCACAATGACACTTGAGTTGCTTGCATGGTTTGGAACCAATTTAGGTCTCACACCAATTCCCAGTACTGTTGCAAATCTTGTATGTTGGTTGACTAATGTTAAAGATATAGGAGTCCTGCATAGCTGGCTTATATTAGTCCACCTGAGTTGTTCCCAAGCCCACAGCACTAGCATAAGTAGTCAGGATATCCACCACTTGTTTTGTTTCCAAGGTCATCCGAGCTTCATTCAGCCAGTCCTGTGCCACCCTTCTGGGTTCTCCTTTCAGCTGATTGATGAATTTAGCTGCTAATTCTAAGTCTCCATGTTCAATGCAGTAGGAAGCATAAGAAAACAATTTATACGTGTCCAGGTCTTCAGGGCCAAGCTCAGTCGGTGGCTTCAGCTGCTTAGGATAAAACAAGAGAAGGGACTGCAGATAAGACAGAAAATATTGATACAAGCTGTTTCTTGTTTCATCTATCAATGCAACTCTTTTAGCCAGCTTCTGGACTGTGTGGAAGCGTGCCCTTAGTGCCTCTTGCGTGTATACCCCACGACTGAGTGATTCTTGAGGAAGGGCAGCTGTTAAGGCCCGGGTAAATTCATCATTAGGACAGCTGAGTTGGATGGACTGTACTGCATCCTCCAAAGGTTCTGTGGGACTATCCCCAGCAGCAGTTTCCATGCTTTGCTTTAAAGCTTCAACTGAAAGCCACAACTGGTGGGCTTTCCTGGCTTCTTCTGCAGCAACCACATGGCCTGTAACATAAAATCCCATACATTTAATGGAAGGAAAATCTAGAATGCATAAACATGTTCATTTATAGCTTGAACACATTCTAAATCAATAGATACAAATAAATTTAAAATGCAGTTCATAGCACCTTATAGTAAAGCTGAGCCACTGACACCAAACATGACAGAAATAATTTTCTTTTACTGCAGTAAAATAATGTTTTTGAGAGGCCAGGCATCTGAAAATTGCCTAGCAACTGGACTGACGCTATTCTGCCCTATTAAGACTCCTCCCTAATCAGACCAGTTTCCAGTAAGAAGGAGCAGCAGGAAAGCAGGTGGCGGCAGTAGTGGGAGTGAGAGTTGTTCTGGGAGTGAGAAAGGAGGTGGTTTCTTTTACTTGGTGGAAATGGAGCATCTGGAAGCAACCTAAGGCTTAGAAACAGAAAACATCTTCAGCAACGGGCCTCACCAACTTGTAAAATGCTTTTTAAGGCTAAAATAAAAATCCTGGTGGTTTGAAAATTGGTATGTATTTGTTTCATTTTTATTTTATTTATATTCTGTGTTCATTTTTTAATAAACAACTCAAGATGGCAAACATAATATTGCTTTCTCCTATTTTCCCCACAACAGCTCTGTGAAGAGAGTGGTAGAAGCCTGGTTTTCATGGTTAAAGGGGGACTAGAACTTACAAGTGCTCTGCTTTATAACCAGATGTTAGGTTATAAAGACATTAGGTGAGATGTTAAGTAACATCTGGCCTGATAGCAAAAAGTATGTTAGTGGGAGTGTCCTGCAGTCATGTAATTGCCATTTCTGACTTTTCAGCCAACTTCTGACAAAGTTAAGAGGGAAAGCTATTTGCTTAACTGTGTTTCACTTAAAGTCAATGTAAAAGGAAAATAAGGTGTGACTCACTTAATGACCACTTTGCTTAGCAACAGAAATTACTAAATTGTAAATCACAGATTACCTGTACTGATTTAGTATACAATGTAATTCTTCTGCAGAGTTTGAAAGTTTCCCATTGGAAATGAAAGAGCAATACAGAAATCCAGCCTGTTTATAAATACTAGATTATTTTACCTATTAACTCAGGATAAACTTTCTGGTACAGAACTAGATTGCTAGAATGGAATTACCATCTGCAAAACAAGCAGATAAATAAATAAGCCACCCAGATTTTACTAAAGATAGCACATTCCTGTTACAACTGTACATGCCGCACTCACTTTCAACTGCCTGTTCGATTCCCCTCAGCCTGGCATAGGCTGTATTGATATCCAGAGTGAAGTTGTCAATCTGTTCCTGATGAAGATGTTTATGTTGAAGTTCTTGTTCAGTGAGTTTTTCAGATAAATTCTGAAAGGAAAAAAAACATAGTGAAAATGTGTTCACATTATGAGGGGCAAAATTGGTGCTCTGAGCTTGGTTATTTTCTTGCAGACATTTCATTATCCAAACTTAGTAACAGCATCAATACTAGTAAGGAGTAGAGTTTACAACTCATTTTATATTCAAGTGGCTTGCCCTGTCAAAGACCCCTCATAAGCTATTCATTGTATTATGTTCATATTTGCAAAAACATCCTTATATCCTTAATCTTCATGCACTGAGTAGACAATCTTAAGGGAGAATCTTCTGACATTCAGCAGAATACATTTTTTATTCTCCATATATTCAAGGGCACTAAGAAGCTTAATGGCATGGAGATACAACTTAAATTTCTATAAATACAAGCCAATAGGGACTTGCCAAGTGGAGCAGAAGAGCATATTAAGATGATAACAGATTGAAAATTTCATTTGAAAATTGTTCACTAAGATCAATATTTCAAAGTTCTGAGGCTGTAAAAGCAAAGTTACTACAAGATTGCACAGAGATTATTTCCCCAATTTCCTAATTATACGTAATATTTTATAGCAATATTCATCTCAAATAACTATTCCTCAAAGGAAAAAAATGTTAAATTCATTATTAAATATTTCTGGGAATGTTTAAAAAAAACAATTACGAAAGATCATATTCTACCAAAAGATTTTTTAAAAGTTTACTTCATAAATTATCTGCCACTTCCTCTCCCCCCCCCCAAAAAATCTGGTAATATGTCAGTACTCTGGATATTTAGAATTTCATCATGAATTTGATAAAGGAAATTCCAAGATATCCACAAATACATCTGAATAGAGACGTACATGAATCAGCAAATGTATACAACTATCGGGAAACCTTTCCCCCCTATGTTTCTCTTCACCTCCTTTGCATGGCAGTAGGCCATACTACCCACTGAGTTTCCCAATGCTCTCCTTTCCTTTTAGTATCCTCTTAGCTGCTATGCTTCATAGAATTTAAGCCCAGCTTATCTGTTTCTCTCCAGCAGCTTGTTTTTCTTATCTCCCTTTAGACATGGCCACTGTATTCAAATCCAATAGAACCAGGTTTTCTCATAATCTTCTAGGCTCCTCCTTTCCCTTGTGCTCATTTTTCGGCTGCTGTTGGTGTTTTTCCCCCGTCTACAAAACACCTCTACCCAGATTTAGGTACTTAAAATCATGCCCAGACCAAGAATGCTTCATGTCCAAGACAAGGCAAAGCAGATTTCTTTCATTGTGGATACGCACCACTCAACTCTTGCTGCTCCACACAACTCGCTGTGCACAAAACGCACAGAACATTTTGCAATTTCTCAATTCTAAAGAATACTTGCATATAGGTGAGTTCAAAGGACATTGTTGGTGTTTACTTGAATTAGGCAAAACATTAAAAAGTGGTACTTTACAATGGATTAGAAAGTATCTAATGCTGGGAAAAATGCTTTCACATAGTTCTTCTGTAAAAAAAAATATGGAAAAAAACATGTAGCTGCATCTTTGAAAGACTCAGCATGGTTACTTCAGGGGTTTTCAAGATGATGTTACAAATTGGTACTTCAGAATTTCTCCCCAAACTGTTACTAAACCAAAGCAGAGAAAGACCTAAAAGAAGCCATCCTTTCTTACAAAGTACTCCTCTAAATGCTTTCTGAAGCCCTAGTATTTTCTTATTGTGTAATAAGAAAAAATTCTGAGATTGAGAGCACTACACAAAGAACATTTCACTATAATAAAGCAAACTCCCACCTGGTCAAATTGTTGCTTCAGTTCTAGTTCTTGAATTCTGATAACATCTCTTAGGTGATCAGCATGTGCGGCAGCTTGTCGGCGTAACTGAGTTCGCATTTCACTTTCCATAACTGCTTGAGCTTCTTCAATCTGTTAGAAAAATTATTGGTATTTGCATCTTTAAAAATTACCTGTGAATCTGTAAACTATGTCATTAGTTTAATATTTTTATTACGTAGATCAAAAGGGCACAAAATAGTGCTCTGTTGTCCAGAATTCATTGAACAAATTTTGCAAAAAAAAAAAAAAAAAAAAACCAACTGAATGAACAAAAATTAAGCAAGGAATGGGAAGAAGCAAAAACCCTTTAAAAACTAGATATGGTATTTCAGCCACGAGGTCTGAAATCATACTGTAAAACTTAGTCTCAGTGCTGAGAATGGAATACATAATTCAAAGTTACATACCGTATTTTTCGGAGTATAAGATGCCTTTTTCCCTCAAAAAAGGGTGAAAATCTGGGTGCATCTTATACACTGAATACAGCATTTTTGGGCCTCCTGAAATCCTGCCCCCTTTGCAAAAATGGCAAGGCATAGCCTTTAGGCTTCCAGAGTGCTCCTGGGGGCTGGGGAGGGCAGAAATGAGCAAAAAACATATCTTTTTTGCTTGTTTTTGCACATACCCCCGGAGCACTCTATAAGCCTCCTAAAGGCTATGCATGCCCTTTTTCTTAACAAAAAACAGACCTGTTTTTGTATAAAAATGGACAATTTTTTGTTTGTTTGGAGTGGGGCAGCCCCGAGGAGCACTCTATAAGTCTCCTAAAGACTATGCATGCCCTTTTTCTGACAAAAATGGGCTTGATTTTTCAAAAAATGGGCTGTTTTGGGGAGGTCTGCAGAGTACAAAAACTTTTTTAATTTGACTCTTCAAAATCTTGGTGCATCTTACACTCTGGTGCATCTTATACTCTAAAAAATATGGTATATTTCACTGAGGCAAGTGCCACAACAGACACTGAACAACAGACACTGAACAACAGACTGGGGTACACTTCAAATGGTCATTGTTAAACCTATCGAGAGACAAATCTACTTCCATTCACACATCTGAAAACACTTCTATTTGGATGAAGTCAAAGTATAAAAATACTTCTTACATTTCTTGTTTGGAGGTACTTTTTAGAGTAAATCTGGACGCGTTTATTTTTTAAACAGACTGATACATAGAACATCAGAGTTGGAAGAGACCTTGGAGATCTTCTAGTCCAACCCCGATCAAGCAGGAAGCCCAATACCATTTCAGACAAATGGCTGTCCATTCTCTTCTTATAACCCGCAACTTCTGAAGGGAAGCTGTTCCACTAGTTGATTGTTCACACTGTCAAGAAATTTCTTAGTTCTAGGTTGCTTTTCTGCTTGATTAGTTTCCATCTATTGCTTCTTGTCTTGCCTTCTCTTGCTTTGAAAAATAAGTTGACCCACCTCTTTGTGGCATGAAATATTGGAACAGTGCTATCATATCGCCTCTAGTCCTTCTTTTTATTAGACATACCCAATTCCTACAACCATTTTATAGGTTTTAGCCTCCAGGCCCCTAATTTTAGTTGCACTTTTTTCAGAATCTCAATCTTAATCTTTTTTATATCGCATCCAAAATTGGATGCAATATTCCAAGAAGGTCCTTACCAAGGCCTTGTAAAGTGGTACTAGCACTTCATGTGAGCTTGATTCTATCCTTCTGTTAATGCAGCCTAGGATTCTATTAGCACACTGCTGGCTCATATTTAAGTGATTGTTCGCTACGAATCAAAGATCCCTTTCACAGTTACTGCTATTAAGCCAAGTTACATATATACGTATACCAGTGAGCATTGAGTGCCAAAAAGGAAGCATTTTGCACACACACATATACTCATCTGGGCCACAACCAGGAAGAGAAGTTGCCCAGGGCCGGCTGGCAAGTCTCCCAGTTACTGCTGTGCATGTGATCAGCTGGCCAGTGCCAGAAAATAGAAGACCAGCTCTTCAGGTTCCGGCACTGCTGCACACACAAAGGCCAGCTGATCGTTGCGTGTGACTGCACGCCAGAAACCCGGAAGAATGGGTGACACAGCGTGTGCCAGGTGACATGGCTCCCCATGCCACTTTGGGCTCACGTGCCATAGATTCATCATCATGGATCTATACCTATACATTTGATTTGTCTTGCCTAAGGGTAAAATTTTATTTTCTCTACATCATATCTGTCAAGTTCCATCTGGATATTGAGTCTACCCTTCTAGGGTGTTGGCTATTCCTGCCAGCTTGGTATTATCTGCAAATTTGATGTTCCCTTCTATTCTCTTCATCTAGATCGTTTATGAAGATATTGAAGAATACTGGGTCTAAAACAGAATCTTGGGGTATTCCACTGCTTATTTCTCTCTATGTAGTGGTAGTTCCAATAAGGCAGGGATGTCAAATGCAAAGTGCTTAAATCCAGCCACGGGGCTGGCCTGGAAATATCAAAGGACCAGCCCACAGTGTATCTGGTAAGCAAAACAGGGTACGTTACCCTGTGCCCCGTTTTGGCTGGCAGAGTGCTTCAGGAGGCTTTCCAGTCCAAAAATGGGGTTGGGGCCCTTGATCTCTCCGCCCCCCCCATTTGCTGGCAGGGTGCTGAAGGAGGCCGTCTATCCCGTCTCCTCTTCCTGGATGGCCCACGGAGAACTACAATGCTCATCCGGCCCTTGAAGGGCATCTTTCAGAAACCTGACATCTGACATCCAGCCATCCGTGACTCGGATCGGGTGCCACCCTGGCAGTTGACATGCACCTTGGTGGCTACATTGTCCGTAAGTAGTATAACATGGTGTCCCTGAATGGTCAACTGGAAGTGAAGCAGAGCCAGTCTCGCTGCTTTTAGCTCCAGCCAGTTGATGCTGTGTTTGAGATCATTGCCAGGCCACCTGCCTTGTGTGACTTGGTTGTTAAAATGGGCCCCTCATCTGAACAGACTGGGGTCAGTCGTGATGGTTAGGTGATGTGGTTCGTGAAAAAGGCTGCCCTTGTTCAACGCAGGAGACTGCCACCACTGCAGGGATTGCCAAACCTTGTGAGGGACCGGAATCAAGACAGGTGAGTTGCTGGCTTTGGCTCTTTGGTGGGGCAGGAGGCACTATTGGAGCTGTCACGAGTGCAATCTTGCCCACGGAACAATCAACAGGCAGGAGATCAATTTGCCTAGAAGCTTCAACAGCAGGGCAATGGGCACACCCGTGACATATGCACCTGTTGTACGAGGCGGGTGATGCTGGAAATCCGTTCCTGAGATAGAAAGACATGGCAATTGCAGTGTCTATTGTGGCCCCGAGATGCAGCAATCTTGTGGTGGGAGTGAGGTGGCTTTTTTCCAGGTTGATGGAGAACCCGTGGACTTAAAGCTTTCTTATTGTCACCTGGAGGTCTCTGATTGATTATTGGTAAAATGACTGGATGAGGATGTCGTCTAGGTAGACTTGGAATTGGACTGGCCATGACCTCTATGACGCTACTACAGCTGCCAGAACCTTTGTAAAGGTCCTGGGGGTCAATGACAGGCCGAATGGCAGAGCCCTGTGTTGATAATGGTAGGCTGCATAATAGAATCTCGGGAACCTACAGTGAGCCTTGCAAACTGGGATGTGGAGTACGCTTCTCGGAGATCTATAGATGGTAGCAGATCCCCATGTCTTATGCAGCTCAATATTGACTGGAGGGGCTGCATTTTGAAGCATTTGTACGCTAGGTGGTAATTTAGCTTCTTTAGATCTAGGATCCCCCTCCACCCTCCTGAGCTCTTTGGGACTAGAAACAGGATGGAGTAGAAGGCTGACCCTTCTTGTCCTGCTGGTACCGGCTCTATGGCCCTTATCTCCCGAAGGTGCTGGATTTCCTGCTCCATCAGGGACCTTTTGGTTGGGGAGGAAGGGATGGGGAGCAGATGAAGTGGTGGGGAGAGGGGAGATGAATTCCAGGGTTAGACCCAGTTAGATTGTTTGGCGTATCACTGGTCCGATGTAGTCTGTTCCCATCGGGTCTGAAATAGCTGCAGGCAGCCTCCAATGGGAGCCATCTGCTGGACATCACTTATAGCGATGGAAAGGCCTGGAGCCTGATCTGCCGTGAAAGGGCCACTTGGAAAAGGACTGTTAACGGCTCCTATCCTGAAATGGCTGATGGTCCTGTGACCAGTCTGACCCGATTGTTCGGACGGTGATATTGTCCGGTACTAGGGGATGGTTCAGAGGCACAAAAGGATTGCTTTCTGAAATAACCGGAACCTCTGCATTCCGTCTTTTTGGTTACAGATGGCATGACCTTCTTTTTGTCTTTGTTTTCAACAAGGACCAGGTCCAAGGCCTCTGCGAAAAGTTTCCTCCCTTAAAGAGAGCAGAGGCCAACTTCAACTTGGACTTCATATCGGCGCTCCAGTGGCAAAGCCACAGGAGCCGCCTAGTAGTTACATGATCTTTGTAAGAAGTTACTGTTTATGAAAACAAAATGATTACTTGAAATATAAAGCAATGTTTTAACCAAATATATAATCAAACTCTCCACAAGTTTAGAAGAACAAGCCACTGTATTAAGAACATAAAAGCTTTTAAGAGGAAATTAACTTCCCTGATTCTGTCAGTCTTGATTGTAGGAGTTAATTCCTACAAGATCTCCCAATTCTTGAAGGCCAAACATCGTGCAAAGGAAACTTCTATGGCTGCTGTCCATCTGCTTTTGAATGTTTTTCAAAGTTGTGAAACTAATTTTTTTATTCTTGAGAAATCATCCAACTCTTTTCTTTCAAACAGCTGTATCATAAGAATGGGGATGCACTTTTTTCTGAGTGATCTATAATACATTGCTTATTCTATCTCAGGTTTGTCAGACATTACTTCAGTTAATTCCACTAATGCACTTGTTTGGCAATACATACTAGAAGCTGGACTTTGTGGTAAAGGTACATTCCAAATAGTGCAAACACTGTAGCCTACTTGAAAATTTGTACTCAAAGCTATCATAACTAAATCACCATTGTCTAGAAGTCTACTTTAATGCAGTCTTAATAAGCAAATAAGAGAGGGGTGAAATCCAGCAGGTTCTGGAGAACCAGTAGCAGAAATTGTGATTAGTTCAGAGAACCAATAGCGGAAATTTTGAATAGTTTGGAGAACTGGCAAATGCCACCTCTGGCTGGCTTCAGACTGGGGTGAGAATGGAGATTTTGCACTATCCTTCCCCTGCCATACCCACCAAGCCACACCACTCCCACCAAGCTACAACCACAAAACCGGTAGTAAATGTTTTGAATTTCACTACTGAAGTAAGCATTAAATAAGAATTGATTGCCCCAATTGCTGGACAACACTGAACGGACAACTTAAAAGCATGTTAGAAAATTAAACACTCATTAGTTAGTTACCTTCTTCTCCTGTTCAATTTGGATTTCATTCTTATGACGTTCCAATGCCTTTGCTACTGCTGACTCAAAAGCTTTTTTCTCTTCCAGTTTTTGTTTTTCCAGAGCTGTCTTAATATGTTCTTGCTCTCGGACTTTCATATCTACCAGCTCCTTATTTAGCTGGTCTATACGGCGGTGAGCATGAGCAATGAGAGAATTCAAGTCATCTGTTGTCAGCCGGTCAGCTGGAGAAAACAGATATTTAAACAGATAAAAATTGTTAAATCTTCACATAATACTTAATTGCATAAACAAAGTGAGATTATTTCAACTTTTCTCAACCTAATGCTTCCAAACAATTTAAACTTCAGTTCCTAATCCTTTCTAGCCAACATGGCCAACATGTAACTGAGACCTGAAATCTAACATTATTAGGAAAAAGCAAGAAAAATCCGATTCAAATTCTCTATATTTCTTTCATTTATCAGAACCAAATATTGTAAAGTACTTGAGAATTTTTTTGGTAGCAAGAAGCAGTATAGCAATACAGAGCAAAACAAAATAATTGCTGTATGTTCTTGTGTATTCTGGAAACCAAAGCATCAGTGAAATCTATTCATTCAAAAAGATTTTGGGTACGAAGAAGAAGAGGAGTACAGTGTTTTTGCAACAGTAAATAAAGTATTCATTAAATGAAGCTGTTTTCATCTGAGTGCCGCAGTTAGAGGTAGGAAGAAAATTTGATTTATGCAATTTTTTAAACATTCAGAATCCTGAGTGATTATACATGAAATAAAAGAAAAAACACTCACTAGACTCAAATTCTTTTACATAGAGATCTCTACAGTAGGGATAATCTAACAAATGCAACCCTCCTTCCAAAAATAACACACTAAAATAAAAGCATTAATATTTTAAAATATATTTAATTATATTGTTGAATAAGTTTATTGATTTAATTAACCCTCAAGAATATAGAGTTTTTAAAAGTAGCTATCTATATTCAATAGGTTTTGTAGCATCCTATCTTTAGATCAGTTCAAGGAGGTTTTGTCTGCGTTCAGACAAATTTCAATACAAGTTACTATCAAGAATTATATTTTTAAATGTTATTAATCAAAAATAATTATCAAAAATAATTTGATGGCTTGTTTTTCAAAGATTCATTTTACATTTTAGACTTTAATATTTTGTTTTAATACTTATTTTACTATATATGTATATTCTTAATATTCTTAACATAAACAATGTACAAAACAATCTTTAAACATAAAGAAAAATGAACAGGAACAAAAACAAAATGATTGCTTTCTTACAAATCCATACAAATTATTTATATGTACATAAACATACATACCTAAACTTTATAAAATAAAAATTTATAAGCAGCTCAAGAAAATGACTATTCATGTTGGAGCACAAATACATGTAACTGGTTTATGCTCACAACTGATTTGTTATATTGAATATTAACACTTTAAAAATGATTATGTAAGTTTTAAGAAAGATAAATGTTTAAATGTAAATGAAATGTGTGTGTATGTATGCCATTTTATTCTCATGTTAAAATAAACAAGAGAAACGTGAAGTTTATACAAAGCACAATTGTGTTAGGAACTCACCTACATCAGTTATTTCTGCAAGAGAAAATGAAAGTATGAAGAAATTAAACCAGATTCACAGTAACAGATCAATGAATTCTTACAAGTATTCAGAAGCAAAGAATATAGATACAACTGCAAGGCTCAAAAATTAATAAAGAAGACAGTTAAAAATTCAAGGCTGATACTAGTTTGTATTTATAGCTGGGCTTCATGCTTTCAAATGTGTGTGTATACGAAGGAATTCCAGAATGCTAGGTGCAATCACTGTTTATCAATTCATTCTTCCTACTAACTCAGATCTAACTTTTGCACTTTCTTTTTAAAAATCTTTCTGCTTCTCCCTTCAGTCCTAATTTTTGGATACTGCAACATGATAAAGGAAAATCATGCGTAATCTCATTGGTATTTTGGTTGCTCTTTCTTTCTATGGACTATATGTTTATGTTTATTTGTCTAATATTTTATTTGATTCATTTATCTGAGAATGGAGGAAAATAGTACACATCAAAGTACAGAATGTATTAATTGTTTTTTTAGAACATTAATCTGAAGTAATTATTTGATTATGTATTCTAAATATCTGTCTGTATTTCCCATTTAGATCACTTAGAAGGCAGTTTTTCATTTCATATTAGGTCCGTGATCTTAGTTGTGATTGAGTCATACAAGCTAAAATGTGTTGATAATCACCAATGTTATGTGCTTATCGTAAACAGGTAATGTTATATATGTCATAGGTATTACCAAGGCTGGTAATGAATGCGCTCTACTGTCTTATTGAAAATCTCAATGGACAAAATCAATGAAAATATTTATGGGGGCTTCTGGGGATGAATTTTGCATATGAAAACTTGTAATTTGGAATATAAGGCGAGTAAATGATAAAGGAGCACTAGCTTGGTGTAGTGGTTAAGACATTGTTAGAAACCAAGAGATCCAATGATGGGATCCTCCCAATTTAACAACTGCAGGTAATAGTTCAGGCAGACTCTAGGAGCCAACTTTGATTTGAAGGCACACATACACACATAAATGATAAAAAGCATGAACTAAAGAATGAAAAAAGTTAGTAAACTGCTTGTCTATGAAAATAAAGGGAATGGGAAGAAGTGATAGATCCGAATAAAGGTGGTCTTATCTTGTGGAAGATCAGAGATGAGATTGGGAGAAAATTGTGCAACATTACATTAATCCAATCCAGGGGGAAAGTTATATAGATAGGACATGAGAGCAAAGAAAAAGTAACTGTGCCATGCAGAGAGACCTGAGGATAAATGAAAATGGTTACCATCTGAACAAATCTGGTTATAAAAGTTTTATCTGTTTTAAATCATAATTTAAGCATAAGCTTTATACACATAACAAATGAATAACTTGAAAATTATAACGCATTATGATGAAAGATTCAATTAGTGGAGATTTTGAATGTAGGACAAATAATTTTTTTTTTGCAGCAAAAAATAAATAAATCCTAGGAATAGATATTGAAAAAAAGAAAAAAAAAGAAACTAGAGTGTAATACATCAACTGCATGAAGAGAATGTATGATTCCTGTACATAGAAGCAAAGAACATGGATTAGTTCTCCAAAAAAATGAATACAAGTAGATGCAAAGAAAGTAGATGTGGAAACAGTTGGGATCATGGTGAAAATAATAACATTACAAGATAGCACAGAACTGTATGGAAATACATTAATATGACATATGAGAAAGGATTCTCGATGAAGTAAGAAAAAAGAAAGAAGGTCTTGCCTTCAGAAGTTATGGGTACTCCATCACTGGAGGATTTTAAGAAGAGACTGGACAGCCATTTGTCTGGAATGCTATAGTCTCCTGCTTTAGCAAGGGGTTAGACTAGAAGACCTCCAAGGTCCCTTCCAAATGTTATTCAGAATTAAGAATGAAAATGATTACATGATTTGGGTTGAAATTTAGAGAATGCAGGAGGGGGCACTTTCAAGATTTGTATCCAAATGAGGGCGATACATTGAAGAGTGGAACTGAAACAAATGTAATAACAAAAATGTGTAAGTAATCCACTATGAAAATATAAAAAATGATACCTGTAACTGTAGTTAAAACAGGGAGATGACCTTGAAGGAAATAGGCAAGAACTATTACTTATGCAAGGAGGGCTGAAATATTTAAGTCTGAGAAGCAAAATATTATTCAGAAGAGACACATGCAGGAGACTCATCCATTATTTATTGAGTTATAAGAGAAAGAGGAAATAAAGGCCAATCAGGGCTAGATTGCAAGATTGTGTTATGCTAACCTATCTCAATAAAGAGATAGGTTAGCATAATTCTCTAATTTTCATGAGCAGCCAGTTTGCTGCTCTGGTCTATACTGAAGTGTTGACAGCGGCTAATAGCTGGAATATAGTTCTCTTATACAAAAGGAAAAGTAACATTAACCAAATAGACATTTAAGGGGATAAGCCTGTGAAACATGACTAGGAAAGTATCTGGCAGAAATCTTATTGAAAGTGTATGAGAAATACAATGGAAAATATTTGAGAACTGCAGTGTGCTGGCAGGGAAGGTGCAGATAAGATTTTTGCTCTTTTGCAAATTTGTGAGAAATTATGGAAATTTCTTGATTTAGAGAAGAATACTATAAAGTGAAGTTGCTTGAATTATGGAACATTTTGTGTGAATATGGAGTTAATAATGGCATAGAAAGAAAATAAAGCATGCACAAGTTAAGTAAAATATATGATATAATCTGATTAATATCTGATAAATAATCTGATACCAAACAGAGTAAGAAGAGTAGGATATGTATTGATATTTTGATGGAACAAATATTCAAGCAATTCTTGTGCGATATTCATATATGTTACTTGGGGTCCTAAACAAATACATATAGTATTTTTGTGTTAAAGCAGTATGGCTGCCTGCCCGAGAACCCAAAGAAGTGCACTAAAATATATGTCAAATTTACTGCATGATGCAACAAGGAGAACAAATGTGAAAAATAAATGCACTGAAAACCAAGGTAGCTGTGTCTATCAGGGAAATGGAATGAATAATTTCAGACTGGATGTAAACAGCAAAAAAAGAAGGCAAGGAGGAAAACTTGTACAGGTAACAGAAGGTTTAGTATAGTATAGATAAAAAGACCAGACAAATGTTACATTTATATTCTATATGTGGTTGGTTAGAAAAATGAGTATTTGTTGAAAGAACTGAAATGCTTCTGCCTTTCTTATTATATGAAATAAAGAAAGGCATCTTCAGAATGAAATTGAATGGAAAGAAAATGAGTTTGTTTATATGAGTTTTTATATATATACAAACGGACATAGAAGCATCCGGCCTTCATGGCGGACACAGGGCCGGGGCGTCCAAAAGCCCTGCCGCTTTGTCCAAACGCCCTGCCCTATGTCCGACATAAAAAAAGTGCCAGTCCGCCAGCAGAGGCGGATAAAACTCACACACACACACACACACACACACACACACACACACAACTTACAATAATACAATTACTTACAAATTACATTGTTTGAATTCCTCCCCCTCCCTCCGACCTTTTCCAGCTGTTTCACAGAGGATTTCAACTCTGCTTTTGTCTGCCATGATGAAAATGTAAAAATATAAAAGGAAAAAGGCAAGAGCAGGCTGGGTTAGCTGCT